GACAGAAGCTACAGTCATTTGGGAAAGGGGGGGGTGAGTTAGGGGCCCAGCATGATATGCTTTCATGGGGGGGCAAAATCTAGCAGCACCCCTGGACACCTACCACAGCCTGGCAGCAGCTCAGTGAGGCATCGGGCATCGCGAGGTGGGTGAGGGAGGATGGTGTTATGAAAGAATGCCATGTGAGACATGGTGCATTATGGGAACTGCATGTTTGGTGGTATCGATTTGCCCACTCTCTTATAAACAAATAAACGAACAAAACAACAAAACAAATAAATAGGCAGTAGTTCCTTGGACCCAGAGTAAGACAATCATCACAGGATGCAGAATCGTCAGCAGACACGAACTTTTCAACGTGCCACCACGAGTCAGTCTGCCCAGTGTCAGTACGCACCACTTCAGCAGGCGAAGATCCGCGCGAAGGAGACCCGGCCTTACCTTGGGAGCTGAGAACCTTCCAAGAAGTTCAGCACGGGAAGGGGGGGAGGAGTGCCGTCTCTTGAGCCTTTAACACTCGGTCGATTTGTTGGGACGCGGCCATAAGCTCAGATTCATCATTTCTGGGCTGGAGTCGGCCCTCGTTTTTACTTTGCGGGTCAAATATGGATGGTAACCCCTCCTGCAGCAATGCACTCGCCTGTTGAATTGGCTAACCCTGGCCTGCTGCCCCACGCCCCCCCCCCCTCCCCCCCCAGCACGGCGTCGGTGTATCCAGGGCCCAGCAGGGTTATGGCAGGCAGGTTCACAGCTCTGTGTGGGAGGCATTTCTGCAAAGCTGCCGTAACCACAGCCTGCCAGGGCAGGCAGAGAATTCACCCGTCCCACTTAAAAAGAAAATGTTGAACGAAGATGCCTGCAGCGAATTTCCATTCAAAGAGTCTGAGAAAAGGGGGGGGGTGGCTGTGGAATAATAATCAGAATGAGGGACAAGACCTTTTGTATTAAAAAAAAACACATTCTGGCCCAGTCTGATGAAGCTCAGCAGAGCCGTCGCCTCCAGTGGAGGGTGCTGTGCTCGTCCAGCCCGTTTCGGAACATTCCGGACCCCTTCAGTCCAGGGTAACCTGGCTCCCAGCCACGCTTCCTACATGCAGTTCTGCTGCTAGCCTTGGATGAGGAGACACAGGAACAGGCCTGGAGATCCACCACTGCAGCTCCATCCTCCTCCAACGCTGTCTTCCCCCTTCTTCCCCCTTCTTTTCCATCTGTCTTCTCTTATCCACCTTCTCCCATCCATCTTCTCTCCACCGCTCCTCGTCAGTACTGCTGAACTGAGAAGGAAGAAAAACATGAAAACCATGAAAAGAAATTAGATCAGTTCAACTTCAGCAATTTATTATGCCCCTATATTCCAAACAACACATCGGGGGCGGAGTCACCGGAAGTCCGAGTATAAATTATACTACAGCAACATAATATGATGGCTGATATGTGCTAATATGTGCTCTGAATATCTGAACCCAACCCTGGAAAGTATAGAACATCTCTCACCATGAGCCAAATCTGTTGTATGTTCAAAATATGCTGCTCATTACATTTATTGAACTTTGTTCTATTTTAATAATAAACGTGACTTCATATACTATTTAAAAATATCTGGCTCCATTTCATAGCCTAACACCAGGGACAGGAAAAACATGATTGGCCAGAAGTATTTCTTCCAAGGGTGCTAAGTGTATTATGAAAAATTATTCAAACGGTGCTGAGTTCCTCTTATCATGTTAATATCTTTGAGGACATTCCTTTTTGGTGCCTTGGGCCCATTGTGTCCTCAGACTGTGAAAGAGAGCACACACACACACACACACATTCAGCATTTGAATTCTCTAGATTTTAAAATAAAACAGAAGCCTGCGTTAGGAAGTGTGGGGCTTGACAGACGGGGAGATGAGGATGCTGGAACTGAAGTCAGAGTGTAAAACTGCAAGTGTTAAACTGTGAGTGTAAAACTGTGAGTGTAAAACTGTGAGTGTAGCATGTGTGTGGGTTACAATGATGCCATTTATCTGAGTGCAGACATGGGTGTTAAGTCTGACGTGCGGACAATGGGGGCCCCCACTGACATTGAGACAGCTGTGGTGACAGTATTGGTTCTGAGCCGCGCTCTCCCTGTCTTTTAGGGGACGGGGGGGTGGGGGGGACGGGTGGATGTGGATGGTAAGAGCTGAAAGGCACAGAAGAAGAGGACTGTGCATTCATCTGACCTTCTGACTCTGAGAGCGAGCTGAAGCAGTATATAAAAATGTTATACTTAAGTAAATACTAACGCTGACAGATGACATGCAGGGATTTTGGGAGGTGTACGAAGGAAATATAGGCGCAGCAGTGTTGGTGCATGCCGTCCACTGTCTCTGAACAAGTGACATCACAGGGAGGGAGGGGGGAGCACAGGAAGTGTGATGCTGAGCTTCCTCCTCTCTGCCCCAGCATCCAACCAGCGTGGGACACACCTTAATGCAAACGTGACAGCAACCCCACCAACCAGCATAGCAAGTGACAGGTGGGGGGGGGGGGGTGTCAATTCCAGCTCCCTGGGCGTGAGAGGAAAAGAGCAGGATGGGAGATCCCTGATAAAGCGTTGCGGTGTGAGCTGCACACACACACACACACACACACACACACACACACACTGAGAAATGCATATACACTGTCCAGCACATCACCCACACCCTGCTCTGCTGCAGCCGCAGGAATTTCTGCAGAAATTCACAAATCCAAATGCGACACCTTGGAGCCGCGAGTGCAGCTGCACCGAGTCCCGGCTCCGAGCGACAAGCACAGAGGGACGCCTCCCTGCGAGTCACACACACCTTCTCCCCCATACACCTTCTTTCCCCTCCGGTTAACTCCAGACAATTTGTTCCCATGGCAACCCCTCCTCGCTTTTTTGGTGGAGGAGGTGCAGAGGAGGTGCTCCCAGCTCCTGTGAGAGGGAGTCTCCTCCCTGACATATCTGGGCTGGGGGGGGGGGGCTTAGACAGGGGCACATGGGGGGTGGGGGGGGGGGGGAGATGGGAGATAGGTTTGACTCCTTCATACGGAGCTTGGGATTAAGCACCATCAGTGCTCCCACCCGCCAGTCACTCTGACTCTATGATGCGGCGGAGAGTCTGAGCGCCGTGCTGCCATGCCGACGGTCGCCCGCGACGGCATCATATTCCCGTTATTATACACGACATTCAAACACTTGACTGGAATTTCTGCTCAAGTCGAGCCCCACCTCCCTCTTTTGGGAAGAAAGTTTATGGAGAGAGATGGAGTAGAGTGCTTATGTGGGGGGGGGGGGGGTGCATTGTCATGGGGATTAGATCAGTAGGCTAGTGGACCTCGTTCCCCTCTCGTGTGCGACGAGCACCTAAAGCTGCCCAGAGGAATCGGGGGGGTCGGGGGGAGGACTGTCAGCTGGTCTCGGAATCAATTAAAACCTGGGGGGGGGGGCAGGCGGGACCACATGGGCAGACTGGGGCTGGGGACTAATTGGGGCACGGGGTAGATGGAGGTTTGGGGCAAATATGAGCCCGCAAATACAGCCTTAGAAAACTCATCTGACTATTAGAATGATAATCTATCATGAGTATAAATGTGATGATAAAGAAGAGGTGATATTTTTCTGGGAAAGAATACATGAACTACATGATTTTCTTTATAACAACTCAGTAGGCAATAATATTTGTCCTCCTATTGTTTGGACCTGTAGGTGAAAGCAGAGAAGCAAAACAGGTGTGTGTGTGTGTGTGTGTGTGTGTCTGTCTGTCTGTCTGTCTGGCCTCAGACTGCCAGTTCATTGACAGAACGTACACTTCTCCGCGGAGATGTAGCAGACAAAGGCTGCGGCCCGATATGAATTGGAGTTGGGCCTCCCGTGTGTGTGTGTGTGTGTGTGTGTGTGTGTGTGTGGGGCTGCCAGCGTGTGTGCGTGTGTGTCCCGCACACACAATAAGGCCGAGCTTAGGGCCCGCTTTGTGTAAGTACACTGACCCTGTGTATATATTAGCGATGGGACTTGACCCCGGCTGGCTGCGCCGCTGTGTTTGCGTGCCGCTGGGCGTGGGAAAAAGACGAGACCCCTTTTCACAGCTGCTCTGTCCATTGCATTGAACCAATGAAGACCTAACCCCCCCCTTCCCCGCACCACCTACCCCATCCCTACCCCCTCCCCTTCTCCCATTCACTCACCAGCCTGCTGTCTTTCAGAAAGCTTCTACACTGCCTCCCCCCCCCCCACACACTTTCATAAATACATCTCATTATTCAGTAACTGGTTTGCATAGCAATGTGGCAGAGGAGCCTGCTCAGGGCCTTACCATCCGCTCCCCACACCGGTGCTGCTAACGGCTAACGCTACGCACGTCTATCGCTGCCAACAGCTGCTAGCCCAGCACTAATTCACCCCCGAATGCTAAACGCCACTTTCTGCTGGCATCAGCTGCTTAAGCGCCGCTACTGACGGCTAACAATAAGCGTACCTGCCATTGATTTCAGCCGGCGTCACCCGCGGCTAATGCTAAACGTAGCTGCGGCCGGCAGCCGCTTTCTGGCTGCCGGCGCTCGCCGCTAAAGCTAAACGCGGCGCTTTCTGCATTTCCTGCACTAAATCAGCAGTCAAGAAATTGCAGCACCCAAACGTGCGAGAAAGGGACCTTAATTTATGGTAACGTATGCCTGTACCCCCTCCTCCCCTCACCATCTTCACGGTACCCTAAAGTCCCCAACTCGCCTCCCCCTATTCACAGAATCTATTTAATGAGATTTATTTCCCATCAAGCTGTATAAAGCAGAAGGCATAATTTAAATCAACTTCTAAGAACAGCCATGCCGAACATTTTATGCATACAAATCCGTAAAGCTTGGGAAAAGTCCAGGCCAGTCAAAGGCCTTTATTTTATTTTTTTTTACCAAATTTAAATAGCCATTGAGCTTCTGTATAAACGTCAGCATCTATGTGCATTAGCAAAGGCTAACAGACTCGCTGTTAGCGTGCGACATACATAGCAACCTCACGCCGCTACGTAAACGCACAGCTTTGACAGATGCACGGGCTCGGCCGCCTGGCCCACGTTCAGCTGGAACCGTGTACGCCTGACTATCAAGACGGAAAGATTACGGATCACGATATCGCACAAAAACGGTCAAAGTGTGACACCGAGATGTGATTCTGCTCTCTCACCGAACTGGATACAGGCATTAAATTTCGGACAGCGGTTGGAGAAGGAGAGAGATGTGGAAATGTATTGGACAAAGCTGGGATGGGAATAGTGCAAATGGAAGTAGAGGGCCACCTGGGTTTGTTTATTTACAGGAGGGATGGGGTATATTGTTACATAAAATTGAATCTATCTGCTGCCCTGAACAAATACTCTTTCTGATATATGACACACAAAGTTAAACTGCTGGGTTCATTACCGTAAAGCACCTAAAACAAGAGTCAAAAATGTCCAAGATGCCCTGCTCAGATATTTCCATTCCAATATATCACCCCCTGGCTATCTTTGCTTCATAGCCCTTAAGCTAATAGCAGTCAGTGCTAGCTGTGCTGTGTCCCGCCTTCACTGTTCTGCTGCGCCGTCTACTCGTTCATCTCTTCGGCACCTGCCTTTGCACTGGAGACATCCCCTCCGCTAGCCCGTCATCATCGATCCATGCACCTCGCAGCTGTGCTATTGACCGTG